CTAGAAAGACAATTCAAATAGTACTAGGCTAGATGACTTCCTAAGAAGTCTAAATTCAAGGGTTTATATATTTTTTGTTGCAATTGTGTTTTATAAATTATAATAACCCTTGAAATCCTTTATTTTGGTTTAAAATTATGACTTTAAAGTTGATTTGAGTATTGGTAAATTCATATAAAGTTATAATTGGTTCATTAGGATTTTGTAGTTGATTAATGTAAGCCACAAATTTTTCCTTTCCAATTTGCCAACTTACCTCGTCTATCCGACTAACACTGCCTTGGCTTGTGTTAAGTTCCCTTGCCAAGGTTCTCACTTATTGTACTAGCTCCTACTTGGTCCTACTTGGTTTCAGCTTCTCACTGCACAAGCAACGGAGTGTTAGCTATCCATCTACGGATTCCCAAATCTCTCCCAATCCCCCTCCCCGGGTTAAACTGGACTTAAGGTTCAACTACACTCCCCGCAGGCACAAGCAGCAAAGCACACCAAGCCTCCAGGTTCCTAACACCCCTTGGTACAACAAGACTTGATCATGGGACCCTCTAAATCCCAAGCCTTGGGTGCAGCACTTGCTTCGGGACGTCAGGGCGAAACACCGGGGCCTAATGGCCCGGTATGGGTATGGAGAGTTCCTTCAAAACTGGTTCCTAGACCTCACTATCCCTACTATACTTTTGGAACCCCCTGCTGCCCCCCCCCCTGGGAGACGCACGCTTTGGGCTTTCACCCCTTGACCCGTATTAGTACTTGGACTTAGTCTCTGGCTCGATCTCGGACTTGATCTCGGATCCGACTTCGGATTCGGTCTCGGACTCGATCTCGGACTCGATCTCGGACCCGATCTCGGACCCGACCTTGGACTCAACCTCGGACTCGGTCTCGGACCCGATTTCGGATCTCGGACTCCGTCTCGAACTCAGTCTCGAACTCGGTCTCTGAGTCGACCTCGAACTCAATTCCGGACTCTATCTTGAACTCGGTCTCCGAGTCGGTCTTGGACTCGATCTTGGACTCGGTCCCATTCGATGAACTCTTTATCATTTTGGTCATGCTTTCGGGGATCCTTTAGCCTACGACACCTCGGGGAGTTGGTTCCTTACAACTCCACCACCCATAGAAGAAGTTTGATGCCCACATCGAACGTCTCTTTTTTATCCTACGACTTGTTGACCATGTCTCTGAAGGCATCCCCCCACTTAGCGGTGTGCCTAACCATGTCTCTGAGGGCATCCCCCCACTTAGCGGTGTGCCTAAGTTAGCCTCCCCGGCCAACGAAATATAGGTGTCCCTATACTCCTCACCTCACCACGCCCTAGTATAGGGTCGGGACTTGAACCCAACCTTGCTTTACTAGGGGGTTGGGACTTGAACCCAACCTCCGTAGAATACGTCTACGGATTCGACATCCCCGCAGGGAGTCGGGCATAGTTCCCTATGCCTGGTCAACCTTGCTAACCCATGCTAATTAGCTTATCTTCGGCACACCTTCGGGTCCCAACATATGCCATTGCTCAACTTCACAAATTGATACTTTAATTGAACTTTGCATAAGTACATAGAGTTCTGCCTTGCAGAAATTCCTTCACTAGATCTCGCGCGTTCGCTAAGTTCTCTTCCGGTTCCCATGTTGCTTCGCAGTATGGAAATCCTTTCCACTTCACATGGAACTCTCTCACCTAGCATCCTTGTCGCTTGCTTTTGCGCGCATTGAAGATGGCCTCGACTTCGTATTCCTCTTCCCCTTGAATAGCCTTAGGTAAAGGTCTTATTTGGTCCTTGCGAAGCGGATCCTCAAAGTACGGCTTGAGTAAGTTCACGTGGAACACTGGGTGCATCTTCCCCATCTCTTGAGGAAGTCGGAGTTGGTAAGCCACTTTACCGATTCATGCCTCAATCTCGTAAGGCCCCGCGAACCTGCTTAAGGAACTCAAGATCAATTCATTTACAGGAATACATGTGTTTTTACCTTTGGGTCAACTTTCGGCTGATCCCACTTGGTAGCCTGAGGTTCTTGGTGTTAAGCCACACCTTCTCCCCAGCTTGGAACTCTATATCCCGGCGCTTCTGGTTCGCGTACTTGGTTTGCCTTTGTTGCGCCCGTTCCAAGGAATCCCTCACTAGATTCCAAATGTTGAGTCTTTCCGCCGTGAATGCCTCCACTACGGGTAGCTCTCCATGATACTCGGCCACGCCGAGTTCCATAGGACCTTTAATAGCTCGCCCATTGATGACTTCCCATGGACTCACCCCGATACTCGAATGTGGTGAGTTGTTATAACACATTTCCGCAAGTCCCAAATGACTTACCCAATCGGTCTGGTCTACCGAGACATAGCATTGCAAATAATCCTCCAGCTGCCTATTCACCCTTTCCGTTTGTCCGTCTATCAAGAAGTGTTAGTGCCACCAAACTTGACTTAATACCCCATACTTGTCTGTGGGTGATAAGCTGTGCTGAATTTCAACTTGGTGTGATACTGTTCCAAGAGAGTCCTCCAAAACCTATTAGTGAAGATCTTATCTCGATCTGAGATGATCTCTTCTGGCCTTCCCCGCACTCGAACCACTTGTTTGAAGAACAGCTTCGCCACACCTTCCGCATCCACTTCCGTTATGGTGGGTATGAAATATGCCATTTTCGAAAATTGGTCCACCACCACGAATATTGCATCAAACCCCTCGCTTGGGGGAAGTCCCGTGATGAAGTCCATCGTAAGACATTTCCACGGACGATCTGGAATTGGGATGCTTTGCAACAAACCCCCACTAGCCTTAGTCACGGCTTTGACCTGTTGACATGTTGGACATATCTTTACATAATCTTGGACATCCTTAGCCATATCTGGCCAATGGTACTTCCTCTTGAGTAAGCCCATCATCTTGGGCACTCCGCCGTGTCCTGCAAGAGGTCCGTCATGACACTCTTCTAAGGCTACCTTCCTTAGTTCCCCTTCTGGAACATACACCCTCGTTTGCTTGTAATAAATGAGTCCGTTGCGTTCCGCATAGCCTGTTTTCTCTTCCGTTGGCAGCTCGCCTCTCTGGTAAGTTTCCCGTGCCTCTAGATTCCTCAGCAACACTTCTTGTGCTAGACCATCGGTCTCATATGCTGTTCGCACATCGTCCCAAAAGGTTGCTATTGCGCTGGATATCGCCAACCTTAAGCTCGCTTTTTGACTTAGTGCATCCGCCACGATGTTGCACTTCCCAGGCTTGTACAGAATCTCGCAATCAAACTCGGCCAAGGCATTGGCCCACCGACCTTGTTTCCCTCTTAGATCAGGTTGTGACAAGAAGTGTTTCGTTGCCACATTGTCCGTGTAAACCTTGAAGTGTCTCCCAAGGTAGTGTCGCCACTCCTTGAGCGCCTTGACCACCGCAAACAATTCCTTCTCGTGGGCAGGCCACTTCCGTTGAGCCTTGTCCAACTTCTTCGAGAAGAACGCTACTGGATGGTTGTCTTGCTTCAAAACTGCGCCCAACGCAAAGTCCGAAGCATCCGTTTCTACCTCAAAGTCCTTACCAAAGTCTGGTAATGCCAACACGGGAGCCTTCCTCAACTTCCCTTTGAGGTGGACGAATGCCGCCTCGCATTCCGCTATCCATACCATCTTCGCTTTTTCTGTTTGGTCCGTTAAGGGCAGGGCTACTCTTGAATAGTGTTTGATAAACTTTTGGTAGTAGTTGCATAGCCCCAAGAACGCC